TGGGAGCCAATGCATTAAAAGAAGAAAAAAATCTATCGGATGAAAGTGAGGCAAAAAAAGAAAGTAAGGCTAATGAATTCAATCACTCTTTGTATTAATTTATTAATTTATTTATGTATGTGCTTTCCAGAGCTTCCGGAGGATAACAGTAACAAATTTTCTGATATTCCAAAGGGGGGCCTTTCTCAAGCTCCTTTACCAGCTCTACCTTCTAAACTTAAAAGCGGGTCTTCTGACGACGTAAATATAAGCGATCATAAAGAGGCTACCAAGGGAGCCATCTCCGATCCAGAGCCTCAGCCTAAAATTGCTTAATTAATATTGCATAGAAAACATCATCAAGCAAGAGGAAAGATAAACCCAAACCGAGTACTCAATACCTTAATAAACTGTGGACAAAATTGGCAGCTTTTGCTGAGCCACAGTTAAATTCATCTAGGCGACCGCACTAACATCATAATATTCCTATTTTATCATACTAACCTACACATACTCGTGAAAAATTAAAGCGGGTAATTACTCGAAATGCAAAAAAAAAAAAAACTTGTCACCGTAAGTTCATCATCATTCATAACCATAAAATATAACAGAACAATAAAAATACAGAAAAAAATGTGTTTGCGTGTATTTCTGTTGCGTGTATGTAGTTCCGAGGGCTTTTCTCAAGGACTTGATGCTGCTTATAAGCAGACTTCAAGCGTTTCTGCGTTAATATTGTATCTGCAACCAAGTCAGCCTAGAGATCGTAAAAAAAAATATATTCAACAATTTTATTTAGCTTGAGGGCGTTTTTAAGGAAATCTCTTGCGGAAAAAACAACAATCTCCATTTTGGTAGAAGTTATAACTGCTATTTCAGAGATCACCACATCTCCTAATCAGACTTCTTCAACTGGGATTCGATCCAACAACCCCAGCCGCCTAAGCCCAAGTAGTCTTACCCATTGAGCTACATAAAGCATTGTTCACTCAAAAGCGGTACGCGTTCCAGCGATTCCTGTACAGCAATTGTTTGAATGTATTAAAAGGTTGTAATGCAGATCGTTAGACAATAGATCTACCTTTATGGGGTTTAAATTTCATAGTGCTGGCTTTTAATTTGACAGTTTTATTCGCGTTGGAAGTGGCTGTTCAAAAAATAATGTTGAACGAATTCGTTGAAAATCCGACATCCCCGAGATCACAAATCAAATTGAAATTAAATATACCAAAACCTTCTAATTTTCCTGAAAAAATCAATGAGTGAATTCCTTCTACTTAAACTAACAAAGTAAGCTGATCATCAAAAATAATCATTTCGCACCAGCTTAAGGATAAGGCTCTTTTCCTCAATTATAAAAAAAAAAATCAGCTTATCAGAAGAAGATCGCGCGAGAGAATTAATTGGAAAACGATTATCCACAGTTCAGCGAATGGAAGCTATGGCAAGACTTAAACCTTATCGAGTTATATTATATAATTCTGTTAGATTAAATAACCACACCCGTTTACTTTACCCCAATGTTCACACCAAATGTGGTATTTTTTAGTAATGACTAAAAAACATGTTTAAAACTTGACTTCGGTCAACTCCCACGTTAAAAAGTTTACGCTAAAAAGAAACAGGGTGATATACTCTTAAAACTAAATTTATAGAAGTTGACACAGCTCAATACGAGTACACCACCTAAAGTCACAAACCTTAGCTCATCACTGCTGTGATTTATACTGCACCTCAAAGTTTGCTGCTGCAACAGATATGCCGCTACCAGTGTTGCCATCCTTTGATTTTCAAAAAGCACCAAAAACTTGGAAATAAGCGTTTTACCACACTAAAAGCACCAAATTTTTTTGAATCAAGGGATGCTTTTTTCATAACATAATACCGAAGTACTGCAAATTAAAACTGGTATATCTCGAGAAAGAAAAATCGAATCGCATCAAACGAAAATGAAGTCCTAATTAGAAATGAGCAAATAATTTCATGTTTCCATTATATAACCTCAAATATCGCTAAAAACCGTGTTTATGGCACTTTGAGGTTAGGATATCTCAAAATTCTAGTGCTAGAGCATTTGTGAGGCCAGATTTAGATTCAGTACCAAGAAACGATATGTTTTACTAAGGTGGTCAAAAAACAAAATTTGTACAAATAATTAGAAAAGAAAAAAACAAATACTTAACTTATTTGCGTACTAGCATTTTCAACGCGAATAGAATTTAACAAGGTGGGTTTGCAACTTCAGCTTTTTATCAATAATGGTTGTATTTTAGTGCATTTAAATTTCAAATGTGTACATATTTATGAAGTAAACACATTTGTCGTGCTAGATCCTCAATTCATTCCAATATGCGGCTTACGAAAAAGATGCTCTATTTAATGAAGGAGGAATCGGTGGGACGAGTTCTTGACGTTTTTACATTAGCAATTTATTGGATTTTCGAAATATTGAAGAGAAACTGTTGTACTCGTTGGAACTTGTTTTATAACTTTAACTAATATAAAAATTTCGAACATTTTTTAATAAAAAAAGGCATTTTGTAAAATATGTAATACAACTATTCTTCAAACAACTATATTATTAACAAAAATGGCAAAAGAAAGTAACGGGTGATTTTTTTGAGGTTAGGATTTTTATGCATTAGTATTTGACAGATCACGTGGGATTTCAGACATGGTGTCA